CAGAGATAATGATTAGTGTGATGTGCATAATAATCATTCTCATATTCCACGATTAGTTTCCAATTCATATGCGTCTGCCTCGCATCTCTGTCTCTTTCTAGCCCTTTTCGCCCTCTCCCTCGCGCACACATCTCCATCTCTTTTGGCTTCTTGGTCACTTTTCCACCTTGAACGAGTCTTATGTTTCGTTTACAGGGAATTGTCTTTAAGGTGATCAATGGTTTATATTTGCATAGGTATTTTATCAAAATGTTTTATTTGCATTTTTAATTATTTTGAAGAGTGCCAAATAAATTAATCAATTTAGCCAAAAGCTTGACTCTTCATAAAATAATATATTCATATTGGTATCTTAATTATTCGTTCTGATTTTAAAACCTTTTAGTTAATATTTTTCTTCTAATTTTTCTTCCAATTATTTTTTGTAAGTTCTGTTTTTATGTTATTTAAAACATATTCTATTATATAATAAAAATTAATGAATGACCTATTTACTTTTAAATTTTATTCGGACAAATAAAACTTTAATATAATCATAATCTTTGGGAAATCTTCACACTCTTTGTTCAGCTCACAGTAGCTCCACTGTACCTCGTTCCAACGCAATGTTGTTGTTATTTTTTGGCGGGGTAACAGGCAACAGAAATATTACCACGTAAATTATTAATCAGCCGAATGGGCCACCCCCCTGCCATCGAAAACCCCTGCGTAGCATAAGTTTCCGTCGATTTGTCTGTTACTTAACATGCATAAAATGTTTCCATGAATACATCAAAATATTTTCGCTTTGGCAGCAGCAACAGCCAGAAGAGAAGCATTAACCATGGCCCCCAACCTGCTGCTTTTGGCCATTGGCTTAAGCTGGAAAGTGTCGTCTCGTCTGCTTGGCGATTCCGACTGCGAGCGCATATTGTGCCTGTTTTTTGAGCAATTTGCTTTGTGATTTTATGCACTTTATGATTTCCTTAATGGCACAGTCGGTCGAAGACGGTCGCCAGTTGCCCGTTTCCCAGTTGCCAGTTGAGTAGGTGGCTTCCAGCGGTCTGTATCTGTGAGATACGTACTTAAAGTGCTGTTATTGATGGCTAATACAGACAATCGCCTCCTCGGAGTCGTAGATTGGTGGCTCCTTTTTAAACAGACAAAGCATAATATTTTCTCAGGGTTTTTTATTGGTTGGTTTTTGTAAGGAAATTAAAGATCTGTTTTATTTATTTATTTAATTTATAAGAATATGGCAAAATATAATAAAAGACCTTAAAGTTCAAGTTAAAACACGAAAGGAAGCTAGCTTCGGCAAGCTGAAGCTTGTATACCCTTGCAGATCATTCTATTAATTTACAAATCGCAAAAATGTTAAATTTCTTATTATTTCACATTAATTTTTCGATCGTTTCTATCACAGCTATATGATAAAGTAGTTCGATCTTTTAAAAATTAAAATCGAAACTCGGAAATATTTCAAAATAGTCATATCCCAGAGTAGAAGGGAATGTAATAAAAACCAACAAAGATATAATTTTTTCCCATTAATTTCCATTTAATTTTTTGACCGTTCCTATGGCAGCTATATGATATAGTGATCCGATTTAAAAAACAAAAAAACCGAAATTCAGAAATATATTAAAAAAAATATTCCCAAGAGTAGAAGGTAAAACTTCAAAAAACACCGAAGCTAGAATTTTTTTAACGTTATCTTTTCCGATCCTTCCTATGGGAGCTATAAGATATAGTTGTCCGATCCGGTCGGTTCCGACATATATACTACCTGCAATAGAAAGAAGACTTTTGGGAAAGTTTCATCCCGATAGCTCAAAAACTGAGAGACTAGTTTGCGTAGAAACGGACGGACAGACGGACAGACGGACAGACGGACAGACGGACGGACAGACGGACAGACGGACAGACGGACATGGCTAGATCGACTCGTGTTGTGATGCTGATCAAGAATATATATACTTTATGGGGTCGGAAACGTCGCCTTCACTGCGTTGCAAACTTCTGACTGAAATCATAATACCCTCTGCAAGGGTATAAAAATGTAGATAATGCAGAAAAGCTTAATTTAATATATTTTAAATTTATTATATTTTTGTATTTGAGATTTAAAAAGCATGATGAATAAATGAGATATTAAGAACGTAATAAATATTAATATAGGAAAATTGGAAATTGAATTTTCATTTAAAGATTCTATCTATTTCTGCGTGCTGACATATTTCGTACCGCATCCCAACTTTGATCAATTCCAGAACTTCCCCCCATTCCGAACTTAAACGTCCCTGAACTGCACTTAATCTGCAAGTCTGTCGCCGTAATTGTTTCTCCCGAAACTCCACGGAGAGTGCTCAAAGTGCAGTCGCCCAAAGGTGGGCAGCCACAGAAACACACCTGTAATTAAGGCCAGGTGGACTTTTGGAGCCCTACACAAGTCCTACACGGTGCCCCATCCTGACCAAACACAGACCGACAAACATAAATTTCCATTACAATTGCACAAACGTCACATTAGACGCTATCAAAGCGCAATTTGCAGCGTCTACTAAATCAATAAGCCAAACTTGGCAACCTAACGGATACGCACATTAGCATGCACATGTGTATTTGGGCAAGAGCACTTTGCATGCAAGCCCTCCTGCAAACATAATAAATTGTAACGCGCTTTACATTAACATTTACATAATCGCAATTAATCGACAACATTTCGGCCCGTATGCGTTGGAGATCCCGCTCGAATCCCGTCGCCAGTTTATGCTCCAATCAATATTAATAACGATTGCACTGGGCGCCCCATTTAGGCCGAGGACCCCCCTTTTCCCTCTTGTTTTCTCTCCCCCCGCCCACCGATAATGGACAATTTGCCGCTCCTAACTTGGCCCGAACTTCGGGTAGAGCTTTTGGTGGCATAAACTGTGCCATTTACGGATTTGTGTGACTTCCGCCAGCCGTCGGCAGTTGGAGACCCGAGAACGGGGGATTGAGAACTGGGAAATGGGGAGTTGGCACTGGGAATCCGAGCTGAGAACGGAGCCAAACGAAGAGCAAGATGTCAAATTGTCAACGCACCTTTGCCGTCTCATAATCTCCATGAGGGGTTATCGATGCACATGTGTTTAAGTACAGTCCCAATTCCCTAAAATTAATTCAAACTCCACATTTAATATAATGATTTAATGGTAGAATAGTGAGTAAACAGTTAGATTAGTTTAATAAAATTTAATAGTTTTATTTTCCTTATATTTTTAAGCTTCTTAACTGTGAGAGTCAGTATATTTTCTGCTAAAGTTTGCATTAATATTTAGTACAATCCCCCATGGTAATTAACATAGATAGCCAAGATGCAACCCTGCAATTTAGCAAGGATCCTCATTTATGGAAGCTAAAATGTTAAATCGGATCGCATCTATGCATCCGCGTAAAATTTCCCAGAACTTTGAGGATCATTTCAATCCATTATCATTCCCAATATTGGTGATAAGAATATTTGGCCGGATTATTGGCAATATCTAATCGAAATTCACCCAAAGAACAAGTGACCAGCGAACACGCGGAAGTTTTGAGGGTCCTCCTACTGTCTGGATCATACATTTCATCAGTGCTACGCGTGGACTATATTTTATCATCCTGAGTCCTACACCAAAATTGAGTCTATTTAATCTCTACTGTTTGCTCCTTTCCAGAGGGTTCTCGTTTGGGTGGCTATTGTTGCTAGTTTATTTGCAATTATGCCAACTGCCAGCTGCCTGCACATTACACGCTTGTCATAACTCTGCTGGCAGGCGTATACGCAATGTGATTGTCAATTATTGAAGCAATATGGAGACCACCAAAGCGCCACAGGAAGTGCATACATATTTTAGCAGGGCTTTTGGCCAGATTTGGCTAATTAGCCAAATGATCGAAATTGATTGTCATAGCCGGAATTAAATGTTAAGCTGCTTTTATCTAACATATCGTAAATGTACAATATTTAACTCTCTGTGCTACTGCTTGGAAGGTTTATTTTTATTAATTACTAGATATACTAAATATTTTTTTTTAAACTTATATATTTTTTTGTATATTTTTTTTTATAAATTAATTAGCTAATAAGTTGTTGCTAAACATTATATTTTAATTTTCGGAACACTTTTAAAGAGAATGCTTTTACGAAGAGAAACCACGATAATATTTTCGAAGAGATAAATTCTCTTTGCTCTCTTAACCGGCTTCGTTCGTTTTTCCGACACAAAACGAAGCACAGTTTCGTTAAAAGTATCTCGGCGCTAGCCTTACATTGTTTCGTTAAGTTTTAACGGTGGCTGTTTTATGTTAAATGGAAAATTATGTTGGCGCTAAAGGAAAGATTCTTACTATTGTAATATGTCTTGTGGTTATTTCGCGTAAAATACATACAAATCCCTTAAAATATATTATTTATATAGTCTAAACAGTTTTTGTTAAATATTTGATATTACTTACTCCTTATAATGTTTTAAAATAATTTAGTTCTTTAAATATTGTTTCCTAACAACATATTCAAATAATTAACAACCAATGAACTTCAAAATAAGCTATTTATAAGTGCAATAAGGAATTTAAACTAATGTTTAAGGATAAGAACATTATTTAATTCAGAATACAGAATTACTTAATTAATTAATTCGAATATGAATTAAGTCTTTAATGAAGGCTTAAATATTTTATTTCATTTCTTAAAATAAATGTTTTTTTTTAAAACATTATTACCTATTTCTAGATTAGCATACTTAAAATAAATATCACAAGTTATGATTAATAAATAAAAAATTTAACAATTTGTGTTAAACATAAAGTAAAAGGGTCCCTTCTAAAACTTCCTAAATATTTAACAACTTCGTTTCTCATCTCCCAACCCATCAGATGCACTTAACATTTTTCTTAGCATTCCGTTGCCGAGTGCAATTCTGTTATGGATAACAGTATTCTGCGATTGAGGGCCCATGAACTACGTTCGCTTTACAGACGCTTAACAGTCAAATTTTAGATGTCGAAGCGGAAAGACGCGTTTTGCTCACGTCCTCTTATTTGCCGGTTATTCGGAAAATCGCAATCGCAGTTATCGGATGAATCTACACAATCGCACTGATAATTCAATTGGCCAAAAATAAAAATAACACAAAGCGCAGATCCGAAAGATACGACAAAAAAAACCTGACGGATTGCGAATTTGTTTATATGCCGTGGCTGCGTTCGTGTGCGTGTGGGTATCTGTGTGAGCAGCGCGTGTAAACAAATGAAAAAAACGAAACGAGCGGTGTATCTTCGGCTCTGATAAGCTGACAAGTTTGATAAAAGCCCAACACATAGTTGTTAACAGCTAGGAAAACACAAGTGCTACTGTATAAGAAAGAAAAGAAAAACGACCCCCTCCCCCTTTTCGCTTAAAGGAAACCCAAACAAATCGCCGGCTAGTGGAAGCGAAAAGTGAAATTCAAGATACAACTGTAAATACGGCGGAATTATTGGAAAATATACATAATATCGGCGATATCGCTGCAAATTAAAGCCGTGAAAAATTCGCTGAAAACAACAGCAACATCAACAACAACAACAAGCAATTATTGTGTAAAGTATACGACTAAAATCTTATCGGTGTGCGATCGTTGTTGTTATTATGGTTCTATATGCTGGTTAGTTGAGTTGTTGTTTTTGCCATAGCCGGCGTCGCGTCGGTGTTAGTGTGTCGGTGTGTTTGTGTGCAAACGAGTTTGCAAAAAAAAAGGAAAAAAATATTGCAGTTACGGTGGCAAGTGTTGCAGATACACCAGCAGCAACAACAACAAGTTAGCCAGGTATGATGGCCCGAAAGGAAAACGCAAGAAAATGCAAAAAGCCAGAGAAAAAGACCGAAATTGAAAGCTCATTAACTGGCGACTGCGAAGTGCGGCTTTGATTTACCGCTATCCGGTAGACAAGTGCAACTTTTAGCACGTCCGCTGTGAATCACAAGCCAACCCCAATCATCCATCCCCTCCATCCATGAGTACTATGAGTAATAGAAGTTAAAAAAAAATACAACACAGTATACAGAGGGAAAAAATCATAAGAACTTAATATTATTCCATCTAAATAATGGTATTATTATCAATGGGTTGCTTAATCACTTAACTGTCAAATAAATGTTACGAGTTGGTGACTTTTTTAGATAAGTCATGAGTTGCAATGCAGTAATAAATATTAAAGTGACTAATAAATAAAATACAGTGTTCTCTTTGAATACATACAATTAATTTTTTGTAATATTTTGTAAGAATAAGATAAATTCTATATTTTCTTTAACTTCTTATAAATGATAAAAATAATTTCCTCTTCCCATATTGTCTAACCGGTTTTTTTTTTTATTATTCTAATGAATGACTCAAAATTAAAATGTAATTCTCAGGAAAAGCCATAGAATGACAAAATATTATTTAATGCTTAAATTACCAGTTATTCATGCTCTGCTTTTCTGGAATTGTTGTTCTGACAATATCGTTTTGGCACAAAGCACCAAAAACAATCTATATTATGACGACGAAAAAACCCAAATGATAAAGACTTTTATGACATTTTTGCTCTGTGCACCAAGCTTTTGCCCACACTCATCGCGTCGCCACAGGCCAAAATCGAGACGTCTAATCGGTTCCGTTCCAGATTCTCGTACTGTGACTATTATTACAGCGAAATATTCTCAGCTGGCGTTACATTTGCATCGATCGGATCACGTAGTCTGAATCTGATTCATGCAGTGTCTGGATAGTATTCAATTTGAAATGCGGTTGACTCGCCGGCGCCGCCGCCTTCGCCGACAATAATCGTATAAATATGAATAGCCAAGGAAGCATTTATATATTTGTATATATACATTCGCTGGCGGATCGAACAGCCAATGCACTAGTTCTGCGATTAATTCGAATCGCTTTCAGCTCGGCTTGCAGCGGTCTCCCCTTACACCTTCCACCGAATGTCAACACAAATGGAGGGGCACAGGTTGTCACATAGAAGTATACGGTGCCGTGTTCTTGGTACACTAAATATTTACTGATAGCTTCACTTTGTAATCCAATTACTCAGCGCGCTGAGTGTTCCTGCACATTGGCGTTAATAGAATGGGGAAAATAAAGAAACGAATGTGGTTAATACCCGCTAATGGTTTTCAAAATCACTCTCGCCTGCAAAAAGTCTTAGTCTTATTTATGGGTCCAGACCCAATTAAAGGGGATGCGCCACATGTGCCGCGGGGCCGAAAATAAAGTGCCCCCGTCGAACTGTCGCCTTGATATATAATACATACGCGCTGGGGTCTTTATTAATATTTATTTGGCTGTACGAAAATAAAATAGAGAACATAAATAACGCTTTGTTTATAAACACACAAGCAGTTTGCCAACTAAAAATAAATGACGCGAACGGCACAACAACACAAATGAAAGGGAATTTCTTCTTTTGTTTTATCTTCTATCCAGCCTTCCAGCAGAATTCCTCCCAGCTTCTTCCGGCTCGGATTTGTATTTGCTGTTGTTTTGCTGGTCAATTTGTGTAAAATGGTAAATAGGAAGGAAATCTCTTGACAGAATTTCCGAACTTCCTTTTGCGGTGGCATAACGTGCATATCCCCTGCCAACAGGTACAAATCCCTGGGCAACATTTTTGCCGTAATATGAATTAATTGCTGGCAACCGCAAAGAAGCCGCAGGAAAATGTCGAACTCCATCCCGTCTTAAATATTTACCCCAAAATTGTGGCTTTGCACAGATAGAAAAGTTCAGAGTTTACATCTTCATTTCAAAATCAACTGATAATTTAAATAATATAAATATATTTTAGTTTGACTGATGAATAGTGATTTTTAAGGCAATTGATCAATTAAATTTCCTTGATATCTCACAATCTTTTCACTGTATTTTATACCTTTATTTTTCCTTGTGTAATATGATGTAGAGGCTCATGTGTCGAATTTGGTTTTAGAACTTTGTTGCCGGTTCTCAATGTTTTCAATGTCAATCCGCGTGTAACCGCAACAGCAGAAAATGAAATGGGAATTTCTAATTGAGAATGCGTGTGCCTGCCATTCCTAGAGGAAAATTCCCACTCGATGCGGAATGTAAACAAAATGCGATATAAAAATAGACAGGCCACGAACATTTCCCCTTTCATTTCGGTTGCTCTTGCTCTGGAGCAATTCACGTGTGAAATGAACAAAGTGTTGATTTGTTTCTGGGCTATATGCTATATGTTTGCTATATGCTACTACGAGTAAGAGTACGAGTACCCGAGTATACGAGTATATGTGGGTGACTGAACGATGGAGGATGGGAGATAATACGAGCAGGAAATAATACAATGTGAGAAGAGCTTGTCCCCTTTTGCGTAGGAGCAGGCAAATCAAGTTCGGGGAATGAAATTCATTTCATTTCGTTTCGTGTTGCTGTTGCCATGTCATTGTGCACAGAAAGAAAATAGAAGAAAATGCATAAATATAAATGACTAATTTTCAGTAAATTTACAGGGGACTACTACAACTTTATTAATAAATGTTAGAACAAAAAAGTCAAAATTTAAATTAAATTTTAAAATTAAAGTTCCCCCTTTCAAATCATTTTCTGATTATCCTACTTTCTGATTAGACTTAATTATTAATTATTATGAAATTGGGATGATATTATATATATGTTCTCTCTGTGTGGCTGTCCCCAAGCCAAAGAAATGGAAGATGAAAAGCAGCTACAAAATCTCACAAATGCAGGCAAAGACCCGTTGGACTGCTGATGACGTTTTCACTGTCTATTGTTGTTGCTGCCGGTGATGTTGCTGCTGTTGCTGTTGCTGTCGGCTGGGTGAATCCGAGTCCAAGTCTCAGAACTGACTGCCCGTTAAGGTCGTTGCGATGTGGTTCTGTTTCTGTTTCTGATGGGCAGCAACAACAATCAGCAGCAGCAGCAGCAACAGCAACACCAGAGACAGCAACAACATTCGGTTACTTGTAGGGATCCCGCGCTTTCTTAGCGCTTAAAATTCCGTTTCGAAAATGGAAAACAAAACAAAAACAAACAGCTCGAGACTCCGACTGCGACTCCAAACTCGCAGCCAAATCAACTTGAGCGGTGAAGTGGCCACGCAGCAGCAACATCGCCAGCAGCAGCAACATGAAGAAAAAAAATTAAAATTAAAACGCACGTAGGCAGAAGAAGAAGGAAGAATCGGAATCGGGGGAAGTTAACGTTGTTGTCTGCCCTCGTGGCGCGTTAAGTTGTTGATTGAAGGGTATTTGAGTAAAGTATCTTTACGTGTGTCTGCCATGGATGTTGCTGTTGTTGCTGTTGCTGTTGGTGCTGCTGCTGCTGGTGCAATCATAAATGCAGCTGGGTGGAGTGGCAATAGAGATTCTTTTTTGGGGGGGAGAGAAAAGTCTGGCTTATGTGGGTTTTTGTTTTTCGGTCTGCTTGTGGGCTGGGATTTTCGTTATTATATTTGCCCTGCCCGCGCGGAAGGCAAACTTAATGAGCAGCTGTACGGAGCACGCTCCTTTATTTGATTTTACTTGAGCGATAAGGCCCGGAAACTGGGTTAGCAGTTAATTAGACCAAACAGCCATTCCGGCCAGACGCAGAGCGCAAAACACAAAACTCAAAGTTCAATATGAAAAGCGTATCGAGTTTCGAGGCGAAATGCGAACCGGCCATCCGCTCGTTTCATGCTCAGCCAAACCCTTTGGAAAAGGGCCAAAAACACAGCAGACTTCGTCCCCAAAAACTGTACCCCAGACATAACTTTTTGTTTCGTTTCGTTTCGCTGACCCTCTCCTATATATTCTTTCTGTTTTATTCTATAATACAAACTTGTAAAAACGTCAAGCGATAAAAATGTTCGATAATCAAAATGAAAACGACCGCCGAGGGATCGGCGGCGGGGGCGATTGGTTGGCTAACAATAAAACAGGAAGAGTTCAGAGCGCAGGACAAGTGTGTGAAAGGTTCGGGATGAAAATGCCTTCGAATGCTGCTGGAAAATCAATAAGCCATGCTTATTGTCAAAGACCAGGGAGAAGGCCAACAAAGCGAACTGAACAGAGCAGAGCAGAGCAGACCAGAACTGAAATGATATGGCAGACACACAGAGACACATGGGGCAGAGTCAAGAACATAAAAATGCCATTGACTGTGGCCCATCGTCTGTGATTGTGATAGGGTGAGGGCTACACGGAGAGAAATATGCAGGGCTTAGTCATTAAATTGGAGGAGCACAACATAGAAAACCAAAGACCTTAGAAGAGTTTGTCTAAATATAATAAACACTTTTAGAACTCAATGGAACTTAAAAAGTATGTCTGTAAAGGTTCACATTGTTCAAAAGTAAACTTAAACCATTTTTATTATGGCTATAAAATGTTGTCCTTAAATTGGATATTATTATATTCACTTTTTAAGTCTGTTCTAAATTTTTTAAATTTCTCATAACTAAATTAATACATTTTTATTTATGACCCAAAAATGTTTTCAAGTTCTAAATCCTAGATTTTCTTTTTTGTGCAGCCCTGAAAGAAAAGATATAGCTTCAGTCTGCTTTTTCATCATCGGCGACACTCGTTTGCCCACCACATAATTCTCCCACTGCCGGCTGAGTAATGAAAGTTGCTTTTACCCAGGCCAACACAAATGCATTGCAAAGTTCTAATTTGGCCAGGAAAAGAGAGGGAAACCGCTGCCGAATGCAGCAACAAAAACAAAACTGTACCAAATAAAAGAGAAAAAAACAAAAAACCGACAAAAAACAAAATACAAGAAAAAAAGAAGTCAAAAGCGCACACGGACGGTCAACGAATTTGGGTTCGGCTTTGGTGGTTCTTTTTCAGTTAACACGAAACGTTGTGAAAGAGCCCGGCTCAAACAACAACAAGAAACAGGTAGTAAAAATCGACAACAGACCGGGTTTACACTTATATATGTGTTGGAAGGAAGAGTGAGGAGTGAGGGACAACGCTTAGAAATTAAAGAAAAACACAGGCTGAGGCCGAACTGCGGCCGAAAACCCTGGTCCGTGGCTCAAAACCGAGCCCCTGTTGACTATCATAATAATAAAATTCGAACCGAACACCGACGAATGCATGGCCACACCGCATATACTATACAGTATGTATATACGTGTGTTCCTCAAATTGGGGTTACTGACCCAAAACTGTGTTTTGATAGTGAAAAAGTGTTGAGCTTGGCTAAAACGATCCGAAACCGATATGAAAATGTACACAAGCGAGCGAAGCGGCTAGCTGGGAAAATGAACTTTGCATAGTTCCAAAAATCTAAAAAAAGAGAATTAATAATACTCGAGTCTCTGATGAGTCGGCGAAAATGATGGGGAAAAGGGGTACTACGAAAATGGAGCGAATTGCCTAAAACATAATTGGGGCTAAGCAACAACTATAGCAAACAGTATGATTAATGTTTATATTTGCACTTTTTTTTATTTACAGAAACCAACACAAAACCAGCCACAAAAAATATTGGGAAATGCATTCATAAATGAGTCGAGATAAATTAAATCCAAATGAAAGTGCTGAAATTAAATAAATTTTAAGTAAATAAGAAACCGAAAATACCACAATTTAATAACGAGCGTGTGCAAAAAGTGTAGATTAATTAGCTCTATAAATATATATATTAACCGTATATAGGTCGGAAAATCCCAGCGCGAGTGCTAAAATGCTGTCCGTCACAGCATCGGTCATCGTCGGGATGCCTAAATCTCTCTGAAATCAAAATTAAACCAATCAAAATATATATCTATCTGTCTGTCTAACTAACCAGCCAGCATAGTAATTCAAATCAAATCAAAATTGCATCAAAACCAATCTCAAATTGTTGTCCGATCAACAGTTTGAGCAAATATCTTCTTCGACCCCATCAAACATTAAGAAACGGCCTCAAAACGGAGTCCCTAGAGTTTTTGCGCTGCGAGGAAGAGGATTTCGAGATGGATATCCTACCGAGTGGCAATATCTTCAATGAGCTGGAGCGGATCTGCACCACCGGCTACTTCTCATCACAGCCGTCGATCGAGGATCAATGGCAACAGGTTAGTACTAAAGAAATGTATAAGATTGGTCACCAAATTAAATTCTAATGTTTAAGATAGGAATTTATTATTTATTCATACATTAATATCCACTAAAACTTTTTGGAGACTTTTCTAAAAATAAATAGTGGCCCCTATTTGATTTCAACATTTCTTTTTTTCCATTCCTATTGTGTTTTTGTGGCTTTTAAACCTATAAACATAAATCAAATTTCTTCCCTCTCCACTTTCCTCTATAAGTTTTCCTCCAGTTGACGTCACCCCCTTAGTTTGGTTCGTTATTTATTTAGCATTTAGGCATTTATCATAGACTCAACTACTTAGGCGAGTCAGCGGTATTTTATCGAAGCATTAACCGACTTTATGCGGACTTCCTTCGGAGGCATTGCGCAATATTCGAATTCGATCGGGAATGTTATGAATTTCCCCCTTCATGGCATGAGAATTTCTTTCTGGTGCCTGATCTTTTGTTTGTTTCTCAGCTCTCCGGTCAATAAAAAGTGAATGAAAAGAAACCGTTTCAAGGTCCCACACTCTCGAGTTTACCTGAACGAGCGTGAGCTAAAATTAAATTGCTAAAAATTATAAACTCTTGATAAGCGAAACTGTGTGCGCATGCTAAAATATAGTATAATATAGCTGATATATATAGTATATGGTGTATGTGTGCAAAAAGCGAGCAAGAGGAAGAGCCGAATAAATAGATGCCGGCCCATAAATAAGTAAAATTCGCCAGCAGTCAGCGACCAGCGTCGGTTATCATCTGAGGGCATGCATAATATATATACTAAATACATAGCATGTATACTTATATATTTTTTGCGAACTTTTTTTCGCACACTTAATATGCATATGTGTATGTATTTCGCCGTTTCTGTTTGTTTGTTTGCTTTTTCTTTTGCCGTTTCTGTTTGGTCTTTATTTTATTTATTATTTTCTTTTCGCTTTTTTGGCCGCTCTGATAAAACGAATCGAAGCCGCCGCCAGCTGATTGCAGACAGCTTTGTTGGCTGTTGTTTTGCTGCTCGTTGTATTATTGTTAAGAAATGCCATGGGCATATTCTGGCTGGTCGGTGGTGTTATCAAAAACCTGACGCATAAGAAGATTGTGTTTCGGTTTCGGCTTCGGTGTCGCTTTCAGTTTCTCTGTGCTTTTTTTACATTTTGTTTGCCCATCAAACGCAAAGTCGTAATTCACTCGGCGAGGGAAATCTGCGATAAGGCGGAGGGTTCTTCGCCCAGAGGCTGCTGCTCCTTGAACCTCCCACCTTGTATTCTATACTTTGTATCTTGTATCTCATGGCAATCCATCCCAAGCAACCGGCTACCGTCTTGGGCTTCGCACCAATTTAAAGATACTTTTCACACCTCCAGTTTATTTGCTTAGCATATACAAAACACAACACTCGGCCGTTGTGTGTTTGATTTATTTTATTCATTTGCTGCATGCCTCAATTGAAACCGCCAGTAGTGGCAGCCGAAATTCAAGGAATGTGCCAAAAAATAGATTTGCCAAATCAAAATATTCAAATGTATTCCCCAGCAAACCAGCAAATGTTAAACTAAAATTAGCAATTCGCCTCGATTTTCGGCTGGCCTTCAACTTTAACTGCTTGCTCGGTGAAAATATCTTAAGTCAAATTTGGTTTAAGTATTATTACCGGCATAGAGCCAAAAAAAATAAACTAATCTTATCGTCTGCTAAATTTGGAGCTTGTTGTACACGCATTTCACCGAATTTAAATTCCTTTTGGCCAGGAAAAGTGGCGCTGTGTTCGCAGCACACGGCAATTAAGTTCGACTTCGCCTCTCAGTCTGAGTTCCGAATTCTGCGTCTGAATTGAAAGTCGAGTCGCAGTTGAAGACGCAATGCACTCGTTTCATTTGCACAACTTAAAAACTTTTAATTGAACTCGAGTACACATTTTTGCATAACTTTTCGTATTTTGTACTGCCGACATCGTTGCGGGGTTGACGTTTTTTGGCTTTTGCTCTGCTCTGTTGAATTTAAGTGCTTTTGGGATACCCTGAAAAAGAAATGGAATCATATTGCTAACAAAAACAGTGTAATTTTTTATGATCAAGCAATATTGAATTTAGTGTTTCTTGATAGGTCGTTAATATCGTATTTCACAGAAATAGCTAACATTTATTATTTTCAAGCTTTGAATTGTGGGATAAGAATAAAAAATTTTTACAGCTTGCATTTTTTGTTAGTGTAATATTAAACTATTTTATTATTAAATTATTTATTTTATTTCTTAGTATGTTGATTAAAGTATATGATTCTTTATTTTATAAGTAAGAGCATTTCGTAATTTGTTTCCCGAAGACTTAAACCATTTAAGCGTTTTATTTCTTCGCTTAAATTTGATTCGGGGTTAAAAACTTTAAATTGCGGCATTTAATAAAAGTTTCGTCGGGACAAGGCAGGTGGTTGGGGGAGGGGTCGGTTCAGAAAGGAGCTGGAATTCGAATTGGAACTTTCTCCGAACCGACCTTTCACCCAGCCGCACCACCATTCCACCTCCCCCTCATTGTATCTGTATCTGTGCAACTGTGTATCTGTTTTGGTGCCTTTTGTAATTAGAACTTGCGGATGTTTTGTTTATTTCCGTTGACTTCCGCCAGCTTCCGATGCGGCGGCTGCGTTTTGCTGTTGCTTATTGTTTTATTGTAATTGTTATGTTATGGTTATGATGCGTAATTCGGTTCGCCAGTGAAACAGTCATTCAGTCAGTCAGTCGGTCGTCGAACACTTGAGCCTTCTCATTTGAACAGCTGCTGGATCACAATTGCTCCGCTGATGGCAGTGGCAAAAGCAAACAACATCATGCCGCATCTGCATACGAATTATTTATGAATTTACATACTGAGAGATACGAATGTATCTGTATCTATTTCTTGAGCTCCCTGGGCATGTTTATCTAAGCTGTGAAATTATGCTGCACACTCAAAACAATTTGAAAGCGCAGAGAAAGCAGAAATATGCTAACAAAAATAAATACAAAATACGAAGGGTTTGGTTTTGGTTTGGTATTTGGTTTTTACTCTTAATTTATTTCACAGGCTGCAGATTGATTTCGATTCGCTCGGAATGTTATTCTTTCATTTCTGTATAAACACCAGAAGAAAAACTGTAAAATGGATGGATTTTCCTTTTGTTTCCATGCGTGTGAAAATGGGAAATCGGGTGAAAAGTGGGAGGGTGCTCTATTTCGATGGCCATTCAACTCTGCCACTCTATTTGTGATTAATTTCATTTATAGAATTTGGCGATTTGCATGTTGTTATAGAATATTGGTTTTAATTCAAGCGTCTAAGCGGATTCGATTGGATTTTCGCTCAGTTATCAGTGTCCATTGATGTGGCTTTATCGCAACGCCACATTTGCCACATTTTGAAGCGATTACCCGACTGCGGTTGCCATTTAATGTATTTAAATTATTTCAAATTAAGCCGCTTTGTGTGGGTGAAATGTAAAAATGAATTTATGTATTACATTATTTCATTTCCATTCGATTTTTTTGTTTTGCACGGGGGCAGAAGTGCCGCACAAACACACACAAGTGCCGAAATCAGCGACGACAACCTCTTGCCACCCCGCAGACAATATGCAATCAGCAGTTAACATTTAGCACACGCAAAAACGTAACAAACAAAACCCAAAATGGCACGTACACACACATACGCACACGCAAAATAAAAAGAGTGGCAAAAAATGAGGGAATAGCAAAAAAGTAAAAAGAAATGCCCCCGAAAACGATGCTGCCATTGGGAAATTCATGAAGACAGATGCACAAACACACATAGACTTACACCTAATAAGCCAAAAGCAGAGCGACACACTCACACACACACACTTCATTGATTGCACTGAGGGAAATAGAAGAAGGATTCAATATAAATGATCATTTGTCATTATAAAGATTTAAATTATAAAGCAGAAAAGAAAAAGTTCTGTTATTAGTTACTTTCCCATTCTTATTTAAAAATTATTAGCTAGAACTTGGAACTAAGTATCCTTAAGATATATTTTAATCTGTTTCTAAGATTTTCTCACCTTATAAATATATTCTTAAGGTATTTTTCCATTAAATTGTCATACAAATAGAGATTTTCGAACTTTTAATTTTTTTTGAAACCATAATATATTTAAAGACTTCTTTTAGTGTATTGGCCAAATCTTAGTCTTGGCGGGAAGAGAAGAACAGTTATTTTAGCAGAGCCAGCAAAAAGAGCCAAAAGAAGCGAGAGAAGGAAGTGGGAGGGAGATTTGGGCTATGGTATATGGGGGGATGGTGGATGGGGAAATCCGAAATACGTGCAATTGCTGAAAATATGCTCGACGTGAGGGGCAAGGCAAACGTGCGGGCCAAGCGTCCGTGGGCCTTAAATACTTGCCACCATGCGGCACTCCCCCTTAGATCCCCTCCTCCCGCCCCTTCCCTCCCCTATCCACATCTCGAAAATCCAGCTAAGCAGCAGCTACCACGTTTGCTACTCCTATTACCCTCAATCATTTATCATCTGGGCTGCAATTAATCATCAAATGCGCGCTCTCGCACTCGCACCCACCCCGAAAAGAGTCCTTTTATAGTTTTTGTGGGTTGCCCTCTGGATTTATGCTTATAATGTGGAATGTGGAATGGCAGTGTATGTTTATCTGCAGACCGGGAGTGTGGGAAGTGTATGCGCCGGCTACAATAGATGCTCGCATTCGTATGTGCCGCACATAGCTCACAGCTCACATTTAACTATGCGACAGCAGTGGCAGCATCACAAGCACCCAGAGGCACTGAGAGAAAATACATGCTGGAATCAAGTGTTACTTCTGGTAATACAGGAGCACAACTCATGTGACTACTCATAAGCATTCTTAAAACTAACAATTCATCAGTGATGAATCATCACTTAAAAATTCAAAACAAACTATTTAGAATGACTAATACTTGGCTTTTACTTAGTTTTTTGTTGTGCTTTAAAGTTATGTAGAATAA